GAACACTGTAGGAGGCAATAGAAGGTAATGGAACATTCTAGAAATTGGTAGTAAGGTCCAGACTCATTATGTATGCTGATGTAATGGTCTATTTATAGACAGTGGTAGTATATACAGGGGAGTTGTTCAGCACTGAGATCAGATCGGGGATCTCGTTGAATTGTATTGGAGTTTAAGTATCTAGTTATTGGAGGTTTGGAGTTTTACCGCGTTATTGTACTTGATGTTTGCAGAGTATAATAATACCAGTACCAGTTGAAACCTCATCTGTTGGCTCCGTGTTCGTATTTTATCATCGCCACCAGGAAAGTCTTTCTGTTACTGTTGCCATTTTGGTATTTGAACCATCACACCTGTACTATACCAATTACGGTAATATTACTTGCGTGTGACAACCAGCTGTAAAAAAGCCAATACTTCCACGTTCAAGCTGTAATATTTTTATAACATGCAAACAGATGTATAGAAAGTTTATTTAGTCCTCAAATCTGTCTTGCACATCAGAAACCAGACACCATTAGGAAATACTTGTTGCACAGAAATTAAGTAACTTCCTGTATATAAGATTTTGGTTTGAATGCCGAGGGCATTAGGAAATTTGAAGTCCTACTTTATCTAGAGCCTGTCAAAATAGTGGGGTCTTGTTTTTAGTCCCAAAAAAATAAAAGCAACAAATAATAATAATAAATGCAATTTTCATTTTGTAAAATTTCATGATAATGTCTATTACAGTGAAATAGACTAACCACAGACATCTAGGAGTGCAATAGCTTACGACATCAGTCTTATTTGATCAGAATAACAACAAAACTTGTGTTTAGGGCTTTGAATGTACACAATTATAATAGGTCTACTTTCAAGAGGTAGTGATTCAGATTCAACACATATTGACTGTTCTGGTTCATTCAGACTGGTTCAATGTACTGTGTTCAGTCACCAATATCATCTTCAACTGTAACTTGGTCTTTTTCTATGAGGCTGCAGTTCAGAATTGATTTCTGTACTTCCTGTTTCTCTTCTGAAATACAAATCAAAATCTAAAATGAGTGTTCAGACACTGCCATTTTGAAATGGAGGTAAAACATAGCTAAAACATTGAGACCTTGCTTTTCAATCCCTAATCATGTTGAATGCAATATTGGTGAAATGTTCGTCAATCCACCACCCTCATAAAATCTGATCATCAATTTAGAAATAACAAATCATTGTCAATGACATAGTCACCATCATGTTTTTAGTGACTTTGTCAAACAATTAAAAACATAGATTTTGTTTAAATATTGGGATAGTATTTAGCATATTAACACAATGCTTGATCAATAATCACCAGCTAACTGGTGCCATCAAGTTCACATTACTTTCACTGATCATGCACACTGTGGTGCCATTAAGTTCAAATTACTTTCACTGATTGGTTAATTAGGATTCATAGAACACCGATGCTTGATCAACCATCAGCATGCACACTGTTTTGGCATCAATCAGGAAAAAAATGACGTGCATCAGTAACCCACCATGACTGATGTCAATGCCAAGTTTGAATATAATTGGTCAAGGCATGTCCGAGAAACGGTTGATGACATGTCCAAATGTTGATTTTTGGTGTCAAAGGTCAACCAAATCAAAAATAAATTGAAGTGCATATGTCTTCAATTATAACTTGTTTTTGTACCAGCTTTGAAGAAAATCTGTCCAGGCGTCTCTGAGAAAAGACAATGGACACACGGGCGGATGGACAGGCGCACGAATGGAACCCAAAACATAAGTCCCCGTTTAAAAATTGTTATGAGAATTTTTTTTTTTTAAATTAGGGCATTCAAATAGACTGTAAACAATTAATTTTTAAAATATTACTAATTTTTATCTTTTTTGAGAAGTAATGATGGCAAATGGAAATAATAATACTCGCTTGTGACATGCCAAATAAACGATAAACCTTCATACAATAATAGTCAATATAATGTATGTTATAACTGCCTACCTTGCGTTTTACACTTTCGAAGTAGAATTGCAAGTTGTTGTCTGCCATACTTCTGAAGAAACTTCTGACAAGACCTGATAGAACCTTGTGGATGGAATAATATGTAAATTTTTAAATTACTGTTAAACCATTTATTTTCACTGACATTTAATTTCACTTTTTTGATATTTTCAGCATATTCACTGGATTTTAATTTCACGGATTTGTCAAAAAAAACAACGAGTTTTTACCGGTATTGTTATTTTACATGTTCACATAGATTTAATTTAGTGGATTTTACTTATTAGCGAAATTAAAAGACAGTGAATAATTAATGCATTTACAGTAGTAGTAATATATGCATCAGAGGTACATTACTTGGGGTTTGCAACGCGCATAGTACTGTATGGTGACATGTCAAGATCCCATTCAAGTCTCTTCTCGTAGATAGCGAGACTGAGGCTACGACCTTCTGACATGACGCATATCAATGTTCAAGGTTTGTAATGAAAAAATAAAACTTTTCTTGTCACTATCGTAGTGAAAAATGTAATACATCGAAAATGTACAGAAAATATAGTTCTCGTAATCCGTCATATCGTGGGCAGCTATTTTGATCCACCTGGACATCCCAGTATCCTAAGTTACCACGGGCATGTGCATTCGCATATTTTCTGAGTTGGAACGCTTATGCGAGAGCGAGATTGTGACGGGATCTTGGTATCATGTCACCGTAGTTACAAACCCCAAGTAATGTACCTCTGATGCATACAATATTACAGAAATTAGTATGTAGAATATAGTACTGTAGAATACTTTATTTTAGCTGGAATTAATTTTTACTGAAAAGTCTTTTTGGGTGTTTTGTATGGAATTTATTTTCACTGATTTTTGATGAGTTGGATGTAAAATATAGGAAAAAAGTTATATTCGCTGGATTTTATTTTCACTGAATTATTCCTTTAGCGAAAAAAAGAGAAAATTAGCAATGCGAAGATAGAACATTTTACAGTATGCAACCAGCCCTTACATGTTTATATATCACATAATTTTTGTTTCTATATAAAGAACAAATTGTCTACAAAATCTGGGGAACAAAAATTTCAGTTTTTCTTGATAGCAATTTCTGCATTTGTGCTTTACATCTTAAAGTAAAATTATGTTGTCTAAATTTTAGGGTATGGAATGACCACTCTCACTACCATTGTCATTTTTGATAATGTAACAAAAATATTAAATCTTTCAAAATCACCAAAACATTTGTGTCAAAATTGGCCTTCAAAAATGAAACAAAAAAAGATAACATTCAAATTCATAAAAATCAAATATGTGTCAAATCTATATCGAAGATTGGGGTGGGGGTGAACAAAATGGCAGCGGGAAGTGAAAGATGGACTTTAAACAGAATTACATGTACACGTACATGTACTGGTAATTCTTTCATGTTTAACCAGGCAATTATTCAGTTCTATCCAGAGAACTCTAAAGTGATCTATATATCACCCAGAATGCACTTGTTCTTACCTCCGACATGTAATGTATTGAGAAAACAGGAATACTTTGCAATACTTCGTATAAATGGCAGTGCTGACAAGACCAGTTTATGATACGCTCTTCTGGCTCTTATAAACACTATATTGGTGTAGACATTTAAATACTTCACTGAAATAAAAAAAAGTATCCTTTAATGTTTAAAGGTGGAAATCATGTGATATTTCAAAGCATACATTAAGGCTGCACACTCAGATCATTCCTAATGCAGTTTTGGAACTATTATGTGCAATATTTTATGGTCTAATTTTGTGCAAAATGCAGGAAATATTGACTACATCAATCTATCGATTTCTGTCATGTCTGAATGTTGGTGAACATTTCTCGTTCTACTGTCTAAATCTATTGTGGGGATGTATTACAAGTAGTTTATGTGATATTATTATGAGGTTATTACAAGGATACCGTAAAGTATGCACAAAGACAGTACAACAAGAGTACCGTCAGCAGTAGCAGAGGTCGATGTGACCACGTACTTTACAAGTAAATACTACATGTAGTATTTTGAGGTATCCTCATAATAACCTTATTATTATACATCTTTTCCTCCCAAGGATACAACAGATTTAGCAAATTTCTTTGTGTGAGGACGCTTATGCACATAATTGTTCCATGTTTTTTCTAATATGGTAGGATGCAAATACCCAGTGGAATACCGCAAAATTACAGCATGCTGTAACTTATGGCATTACGGTGACAGATGAGTAATAATAATAATTATGAGACATAAGTCCTAGTACATCTATCGCAATAATTTTACTTTATGGCACTCAGTACAGTTACTCTATGACACTACCTTATTAGAGTAATACATTGCATACAGTCTTTTGTTTCTTTGGGTTTTTTTTCAAGAAAATAATTTTAAAAAATTATGTGAATGTATAAGTGGCGAGATTCTACCAGTAGCGGTAGTTACAATACCTTAAATGAGATAAAATTCAACTTTGAGTTATGCATATTAATTATCAGTTATGAAATTCCAGTTCCGGTTCTGATTCCAGGTTTTATAGACAACCTGATTTAAAGTTAGGTGTTCATAACAATGACATTTGCGCCCATTTGAGATTTGGTCAATTTTTTAAACAAGTCAATTTTTGAAGTCAATTTAAAGAAAAATATGTGTCTTGGCATTAAATTTAGGATTTAGGTTGATTATATATTTTATATCTATCTACCTAACCCTTTACCACAATCCTAATGCCAAGATACATTAAATTATTATTTTCCATGGAAATTCAATATCTAAATCATATTAAAACTCAAAAATAAAAATGTTTATTTCCACTAAAATTTCCATTGTAAAAATAAAAAGCCTGTAAATTTTATCATAAATCCCAAGCCAAGAGACCAACAACAGATCATCTAACTGCTAATGTTAATGTATCCATACCACTAAGTCCTCCTTGTAAAACACCAACCCCGTAATCGCCATGTGCTTTAGCTATAGCTTCTTTTATTTTATAATACAAATTTCTCTCTTCAGTTGGATGTACCAAAAAATCATCTTCAAATACCAATTCACACAAAATATATCTGAAAAAAATGCAATAAATACTGTTTTTAGTCAATCAACATCTTATACTATTGAATTCCATTGATAAGCACTTTTCTATTGATTTAGAAAAAGAGAAATACTCAATAAAAAAAAGAAAGAAAAACACAAGTTTTCTAAAGTAAAGTTTTTACTTCATATGAGACATTCAACTTCTGGAGTGAGCGAGAAAGATGGTACTTTGATCAGTTTGTTTCCACCACCTCAGATTATATTTTTTTGCTGATTAAATATTTCTCGATTAGCCTCACTATCATCAAAAGTGATTTAACCTCTGCGTGATGTTCGTATTATTGAGATTTATCCAAGAATTGGTTTCTATGGAGTTCCATGATGATTCTGAGTGAAAATCAAACACTGTGTCATTTGTATTTTTACAATTGGATTTTGTTTTACATGTACATTATTTATTTATTTATTTAACTTTAATCAAAGAAAAGATTGTAATTAATTAAAACAGCAACTTATAAATAAATTGTTGGTATAATCGAATAGTTTCAAATAACCACACTTTATGGGGAAACAATCTTGAAAATTTTATCATTTTTGCTTGTGATATACCTCCATGCTTGACCTTAGACCACTAATAAACAGACTGGCATGTAGATGTGTCAATCTGCCTAATCCCCAGCGAATGTGTGTCTTGGCTACGCTGGTGGCTCACGCTTTGCCTAATTTTGCTGAATGGCGAGTACACACATCAAGAATCTTCGGTCTCGCATTTCAGTCATTCTCTGTATTCAGTTCAGATTAGATCACCCGGAAACGAGAGAGTTTAATGTCGAGTTGCCGAATAATATATTTTTAGCCAAAATTAACCATATTTTAGGTACAATGTAAGTAATGATTATTTGAATGTATAGACTGTCTTTATAGTTATGTTTTTGAATGTATAATAATTATAAAGGAAAAGGAAAACGACTTTTATTGTAACACAGCAATTGTTTTCGCCAGTTACTCGATTTTTCTAGGATAGTTCTTGTCGCCATGTTTACAACAAAGCTGGTCTTATGTTATTACATTTTGCTGATCATGTATTAAAAAGCCTTTGAAAATATGATACCGAGCTGTGACGTTTCAGATCACTTCCTGTTGAAACACTGCAGTTTCTCGCAAAGTCGTGTGTTGTCGCGTGACTTCGTGGACATTTTTTTTATCTCTCCCAGTTGTTTACAAGATTAAAACATTATCGCAAATGTAAACTCGAGACGCACATTGAATGAGGCTTAATATACTATTGCACAAAATACGGTACATTCTATTCTGTTCATCTTCATAGATATGTACTTTTCTATCCCTTACATGTAATAATGAACTCAACCAGATTTCAAAGGCAAACTCTGCTGAAATAGCTGAATAGCAACTAAAACCGATCAACCTCTTCCCCCAGAATGGCATAGTGTGTGTATTTCAAAATAAGAACACAAGCAAGCGAGGCCATTCGACAGTTGGGCTAACCGATGGTTGGGCAAGGAAGTGTAGCATAAATAATTTGAACAAGAGTAAATGCAGCTGTGGGTTGATCACAAGTTGTACTTATGCCCATTCTCATCATTTGTGGCACTTTTTAGTCCTCGTTCAAACGCTGTCCGAAAACAAGGACCCATAAATTGACGGGGATACGTCACGATCCCCCAAACATATGCATGACCAATCATAAACAAGAACAAACACCTAATTAATTAACTAACACCTCAGTTTCGAAGCGTCTTTCACAATGCATGGAAGTACAACTCTGCATTACAGCAAGTCTCAGAAGTATTGGGGCAGCCAATTTGCAAACTCGCTAGCGGCTAACTGCTTGGGTTTTGACTAAACAGTTGACTTTCCAATCATGGTGGCACCAACTTGTGGTCACGCCCACTCTGGGCAAATCTATATAACAGCAGGGGATGGTCATCATACTTTAGAAGCTAATCAGCCACAGTGGGATTATGATTTTTGCTTTCAAATATACCAGGGAAAGTGTTCTATGATCTTCGCAAATAGACGAATGAGGTCGATTTTTTTAGTGGTTGGCTTATGTTACCCCAATGGATCATTTAGATCTGAAAGTTTGTTATTTTCTTCCTGATTTGTAAGAAACTGTCTCTCAACTTGTCTCTTTATTTAGTTTCAAGTAGTTTTCAAGATGGCTACCCCATTTATCAAATTATCCCTTGTACGCCAGCCGACTGTGGCCATTCTCAGGCTGACCAGGGAAGTAATTTTTACATTTTCACGCCTCGCGTAACAAAGCAAATGTACCAGGCTACATAAAAACATTCTATGTCCCCTAATGCAATATAGACATAGAGTACATAAAGGCATTTTGAAGGAAAACAGGCTATGTAATCTCCATGAATGCAATGAAGTTGGGGATGAGAAACATTACATTTTATATTGTAATAATTGTTTAATCAAAGAACAAAGATCTAGATTCCTTGCAGCTTTATACATCTATGCCCCAAAGCTGGAAGATTTTAGCATGGATGAATTATTTCCTATTATTGCTTCAAATAATGATTTCTTCATTCTTAGCATTTTTGCAAAATTTATTTTCTATATTCTTGATATGTTTTAGTACTGTAATTTTTGTTGTTGTTGTTGTCCTGAATGTTTTGTTTTGTTATTGTTATTTTTGGACTTTACTTAAGTTTTCATTGGTACGTTCCAAAAAAAAAATTCTATCTATCTATCTAGACTCAGTCACCCAGAGTGGGCGCGGCCACGAGTCGGCGCCAGCAAGAATCGGAAACTAAATGTTTAGTCAAAACCCAAGCAGTTAGCCAATTCGCTAGCGAGTTTGCAAATCGGCTGCCCCAATATTTCTGAGACTTGCTGTAAATGTTCAACAGTTTGTAAACTTGTAGTACATGTATTTTCAACTTTCTACCTGTTTTTGAAACGAACCATATTTTCTAGTCGTCAGCGAGTAAACAACGTCCAAAGCCCGGTTCCAAACATGTGTACATACCGGAAATGCTAAACACGGATAATCAACTTCCGGGTTGTGCGAGGTGAAAGGTCACCTGTGGGAGAGATCGACATAAAATAATGGGGTCGTGAATCGTAGCTACCTGATTGAAACAATTCGTTGCTTTTTACCTGATATCTCAAGAAGTCATCAACTACATCTGTAAAGCAGGTTACTTAGTAACTAACCAAGATCGTCATTTGATGATCTCCGTTATCTAGGTACGTGTTTAACGCATTTTGGGCCGAAAACTGTGTCGTATAAAAAAATCTTCGCGTGGAGGCGCTCTTGCGTGACATATATTGCCGGTACATTTATCTTGTAGAATGCAGTTTCTTTATTTCCTTAATTTAGTTTTATTTGTGACTGTTTATTTTAATTATTATATCATTTTTGTCAGGGATTAATTTGAAATCATGTGGGATTACTGGAAGAGTGTGACCATTTTTTTCGTTGACATGTTAAATTTGTGTTCATTAGGTCCCTCTATAGATAGAGGGACTGTGATTAGGCCGACATGTTGTTACTGCAGCATCCTGCATACATTTTTCTTTCCTTTTTTTCAACAAATCTTACCCTCCCCCTATGTTTTCAAATGGTCCACCCCTAATAGTTATTCATATGTCCATATGGGACAGAGATACTGTAGAACTGTCAATATATTACCTGTACAACCTTTTATGGTATACTAGTATCACACCCGGAATATATATTATAATATTAAGGGTCTACAAATTTGATATCCATGTAATACCGTAAAATACTTTAATTTAGCTGGAATCAATTTTCGTCGAAAAGACATGCAGGTTCCATATGCATAGCAATCAAACATATTTTAATCGCGTGTATAACAGAACACAGTGGAGGTTTGGAATATGCTCGATTACACGAACAGAAATGAGCTAGGTCATCGCAGTATTCAAATATGAAAATGTATTTAATTAATACATGATTTGCATGCAATTAGTGCACCACATTGTTACGTTCTAAATGTTAGAGGTATGGCGAACTGTTGAAAAATTCCCAGTCACTGGTAGCATAGTGGTTGTCGCACCAGACTCATGATCCGTAGACCCAAGTTTAAATCCTACCTTAGGCTGAACATCAAAGGGTCGACCCCTACCTTGGGTGAGTGTGCCACAGACTCAATGGGAAGGCCAATTCCACTGGCCGAGATTCATTGACTAACGAATGCGACTTTGGGGGAACCTTAGATAAGTTCCGCATGTGCTTGTGTTCGACCGAGCCTGGTTGACGTCAGGATAGCGCATTACAAATTACCATTTGATAGAGAGATGGCCACACAGCCCTGTCATGTAGTCCCAAACATGAATATGACTTCTGTAGCAAAATGCACTATGTGTCGTCACTAGCACTTGCAATTTGCACTTACAGAGACAACAGTGACACTCAATGTCTGGAACTGTCGCCTGGCACAAAAAATATTTAAAAAAAAAAAAAAAAAAAAAAAAAAAAAAGTACCAGTATCTGGCGGCCAATACCTGGGTAACTGCATTAAAAATATCAAAAGTGCAAGTGGCCTATAAGCAAGGACTCTCAACAAGCAGAAACAGCACCAGACAAACTAATCAGCCCTTTCCCAGAATCATTAATGACAGCTTTTACCTATACAGATTTGGCAGCAACATCATTTGTTTACACTTCTCCCAAGCAACAGTATCATGGTAGCAATAATATACTATAAAACATGTCTTTTTCGCGAGTATATCCTTTTAGCGAATTTAGCGAGAGAATAATTCGCTAATTTAAGATGTCGCTAATGACTTCATTATAAATTCAAAATGGCGGCCAAACGTCTTTTTCTCCCCACACACATACACTTTGTAAACAACACAGAAAACGTAATAATCTGGAGTGCTTCCTAATTACACTTGACAGTTTTTGATTGTTTTTATGGAGGTGATAACTGCGCATTTGTTTTGGTATGTGACAGACAAGTATTGTGAAAACAGGAAATCAACAAAGACAAGAGAGATTCACTAAATCAACATTTCGCTATTACGTCATTTTAACACAATTCGCTAAAATAGTGTGTCGCTTTTTCAACATGTTTTACAATATTGCGTGGAAAGTATTTTTGGGTATTTTCACATTTAATAATGTAATATCGGTATATACATTTGATGATGGTCTATTTTGATGAAGTAAAAGTGTCTCAATGCCATGTTCCCCTTTTCAACAAAATTGAAATTTTGCGGCAGACTTTTATAACATCTATCAGTATACAATATTTCTTGCATTTACTCTTTGAGTCTACTTTAGTCACCTTTTACAGAATAAAACTGACAAAATAATTATTTTTTTATAATTTTTCAAAAATATTGATTGAGACATGTAGCAAATTACAAATTATGCCCATTTTGGCAAAATTTCCCCCCAAAATTACGAAAAAATGTATAAAATAAGGCAAAATGTTGCAATGATATTTTAGTAGAAAAAATTAAACTGAGAAATATGTTTTATTGTAGTATAAATACATTTTTGTTTATAAATTACAGGTTTTTATTGGTAGTGAGATTCATAACAGCAGTGATGCCAAGGACTAGATCCAGTAGTCGGTCTAGGAGTCCTGTGAGCAGAGGTTGGCGACCTGGAGATAAGTCATATCGTTCATCGTCTCGTGAGGATGTCAAATCAAAATATAAAAACGATGAAAGTAGAAGGGACAGAGAACGTGATAGCAATAAATATAGAAAATCCAATGATAATCTTCGTTTGGACACTCGTAGAGATAAGCATCCAAACCGGGATAGATACCGACAGGAAGACATAGATATAACTCGCAGGAAGAATGATCGTTCGGGAGATCGTCTGGGAAACAGAGATACAGATCACTACAGTAGCAAGACAAAACATAGGGATGCTGCCTTCGATAGAAGTACATCCAAAGATGGAAGAGAAATGAGAAAAACAGAGAGAGCCAATCAGTATGATAGGCCAAGAAGCAATTCCAAAACAAAAACTGATTTGCCTGCGAGATACAAAGGAGTCTATAATGAAAAGTCTTCTCCAAACACGGAGAAAAATGAAGACAATTTGCCTCAGCAATACAGACACTACAATCGAATTGAAAATTCAGATGATACAATGACAAACTCCAATCATATTAAATATACTAAAGAAAAAAGCACATTAAGAGAAAATGAAAGAACCATAGACTGTAAACGTAAGAGTAGATCAAAGTCTCGCTCAGAGTCAAAATCAAACCGACAGAGATCAGCATCCTCAAGTACTAGATCAAAGTCTAGAACAAAAACAAACAACAAACAAACAAAAGAACTAAAGGCTGTTAAAAGAAAGCGTTCGACCAGTAGTGAAGAACCTCTAAAGAAAGTGAAATCTAAAAGACAGAAAACCAAAAGCAAAGACAGTGGGTCAGAGAGCGGTAGTTCCGATTCATCTCCTGACAGAAGGAAAAAGAAAAGGAAGAAAAACAAGAAGGAAAAGAAAAGAAAAAATAAGAATAGTAAGAAAAAAAAATCTAAGAAGAAAAAATCAAAGCAATTGATGAAACAGTCAGATAAAGGTATAATTACTGTGAGCTTTCCTCAAAAAAATAATGTTTAAGGTGACCTCCGATAAATTTGCTTGTTATTTATTGAATTCAATTGTAAAATGCTGTACCGTACATCAGTAACCTCATGTGAGGTCACCTGAAACATCAAATTTTGTTTTCCCTAAAAGACTGATACCTAGATGCAAATACTGTAAATCATTATTTAATTTCCACAATTTAATGATCTTACAAAAATGCAACAAAAGTCACTCGCACTTTGTGTCATAGAACCCCAGAAATACTTCCCTGTGACAAAATTTTGTGATTTTCACTAAATTGTGAATTTTAAATTTCACATGCTTTTGTTACATGTCAAACAAAACAGTATCTATAATATCATAGTACCTAGTACGATTCTTGTGTCTCAAAAGTGGGTTTTCAACATCTTTGAAATTAAGTAAATTGGAAGAGTAGACAATATGGTATGTATAGAATTGTTCATGATTATTTCATGGAGCCCAAAAATTATTAATAACTCATGTGACCATGACGACCATTGAATCTTGATGAATGTTGTGAAGTTTGCTGTATTCAAAATTGTTATTAAAGTATAAAGCATAAACACATTTGGTCCAAAATTATTATCAAAATCACAGGAAATTACAGAAAATGTGCTAAGTCTTGAACCAATATTTTAGCATTGAAAGCTGTTGAGCATTATGTTCACTGAGATTTAAACTTTTCTAGGCTTAAATTCACTGATTTGAGTGTATTTCTATTTGATTACTAGTCTGTATTTCTATGTGGATCTGATTTAGTGATTTTCAAGGATTTTGGTTCATCTGATCTGATCTGATCTGATTTGTTTGACAAAACTGTGTCAGATTCATCCAATGGGAAAATAGATATTTAAATGCTCAGATTAAACTGATGAAATTGAACTTGTCTGAATTTCAAAAAAAATCAGATCAGACATCAGATTTTATTGTTTATATGATCAGATACAATCAGAATAGATAAATTTAATTGTATGAACCGGCTTTAAAAACAAGTCAATAATTAAATGCATTTACAGTATAGTATTTGTATTTATTTTAATAGCAGCGACACCAGGGGCAGCAGAATCTAATCCGCTTCAAGTATCTGCAAATACTGAAAGAAAAGCAATGGCCCCAATGACGAAAGAAGAGTGGGAAAAACAACAGAGTGTGGTCAAAAGAGTTTTTGACCCTGCAACTGGACGAACAAGGTACATTACTTTAAAATAAAAGTCAACCTCACTTTAACCTGCGAAGTTGTCCAATCAGATTACAT